AGCTTCTCACAGAAGCCACCCCCGTGACCCCCGCTACCAAACCCTTGCTGTTCAAGCCCAATACAATCACCAACTAGAAAATGAATTGAAAAGCTTCATTTTTAGCAATAACATTTGCAAATTTAAGCTAAATTTTGACTTGAAACAGTTAGAATTTCCACAACTGTTCCTTAGCTCATCTCTAAAACCTTTAAAGGATCATTTTGAAATTAATTCTGAAAGTCGTTGTCAAAGATGTTTTAGAAACTCCATCTGGTGGTCACTAGCAGAATACTCTTGAAGTTCCCAAAAGCAGTTAAGATCAGTAAAACAAATTAAAGGATTTAAGTTAGTCATTAGGAAAAAGAAATCAGTCCCAGTCTCTGGCGAGACACAGATTTGTAGTGGATGGTCCTGCCTGCAGGCACTAAGGGCATTGCTGGAAGCATTTCTAAGAAGGAATAAAATTAACCATGACTGCTGCAATAGACTGGCCGCGAGGATGAGGCATGTAACAGAATATTCTGTTGCAAGAAACAAATCTCTGCAACGGTTAATTTGGTTTTGAACCCAGCAGAAGGACATTGAAGCAGGCCATTAGGCCTGATTATTTACAAGAAAGAAATATTTATTAAAAAAGCATATGTTTCTTGTATTGTTTCATGAAACATCTGGTACTAGTCATTGTGGTTGACAAGATGCTCAAAGATCAAAGAAAGTACCATTCCCATTCAGCTCCAGAGCATTGTAATGCTTTCTAATTAAGTTATGGTTTCACTGGTTCACAATGAAATAGATTTCATACGTAATTAATACAGAAGTTACCAAAATATTTCAAGTCTGCCTATGTGCAATTCAGTAATCATTCTAACACCTGCAGTGCTATGCAGAGACCAGCTCTCCTCTAAAACTTGCCATTAGAAAAAGCTTTTTTCCACCCTTTAACAGAAGTAAAAGTATTATTTAGAAACACAGGCAATTTCTGAGCTCTCATAGCTGAGTTACGTAGATGATCTACCCACACTGAGGGATTTATTTTGTGATTGATAGAAACATTACTGAATAGTAATAGTAATAAAGTACTCTTTATAAAACAACTTACATTACAAACAACAGCCAAATAAGCCAATATAAAATCACTAATAATGAATAATGGGCAAGCAATCCTGAGATTTAAAGGCAGCAATTGAACAGCACAGAGCATGGCTGTTCTAGAATAAAAGGAAGAAACGTTATTCACAACCAGCCTCTGAGGCATTATTAATACCAGTGCTTATGTATACATATCTCCAACTTGTGCCTTTTTAACCCTTTCCAAGCACAGAGTTCCAAGCAGTGGCAGTAAGACTGTCAGATTTTACACATACACACAGCTCCGTGTACCCCATAAATCAGCGTAAGCGACTGAATTACATTTTAAAAAACCCACACTCAAAAAGTCCTCCCCAAACCAAACATGCAGGGAATATAATAAAAAATCTTGCATGTCTTTGTACTCTTAAAATTCATCCATAACCGAAATTCCTTCAACTTTCTTCAAGCTAGCAATTCTTGGTTCTCCATACAACTTCCTTCCTGGTTTAGGGGGTTTTTGGTTGCTAGGGGGTTTTTCCCCTTTTTTTATGTCAAGGCGTTTCACAAGAACTATTTCACAGAGTGACTGGTGACTGTGCATAATGTAACAAAAGCCTTAGAATAGATGCTCTTCTCAAGAAATAATTCTTTTTCCAGGAATCCTAAGTTACTGCGTTAATACAAGTGTCCTTAAGGTCACAAGTATCCTTAAAACCCCACAAAGAAAAGCTTCCCCTATGTCAGCTCAGTCCCTGAATAGAGTCAAAGCAATCTATGACTAAGGGTGGCTAACATCCCGCACTCGAGTTTTGTGGCTGGTTTTGTTACATAACAACACTAGAGGAAAAAATAAGACATAAATACATGGTAACTGATGAAAAATATCTGAAATAAGTGTAGAATATTTCACAATTCAAAATTCCAGTAGCCCAGCAATTGCTTTTCATCACAATACACTGGGGAATGGGCATTAACAAGCCTGTTAATATCCCAAAACAATCTGATTGTACTACACAGGGACACTTAATAACATTACATCAAAAAGGCAAAAAATAAAATAGATATGTTAGTTGAGAAGACGACAACAACATATTCTAAAAAGACACTTCAGGCTTCTCATGCAGGATTAGCTCCCAAACGATAATCATTACCCTCAAGCAATCCAGTCCAATCCTTTGAGTAACTGCAAGCTCACTGCAGCCTTTGGTCTCTGGCTGTGATGACCCTGCTGAACAACTGACCATGATGATTCAGAAGGCAGGTAAGCAAGACAGTATCACCACCTCCATAATACTTTACCGGATCGATCTGTTTTAAGCCAGAGAATAAAAAGACTGAAATCTCCATGGTTTCAGCAAGCCAGAAGCATCGAATGGCGTTTGGTAGAGAAGACAGAGAAGTTTCTCTCACCTGGTGTACATGTACATGAGAGAAAGAGACTTCAAGTTAAACCTACTGTCAGGGGTCTGTACTTGGATAAACACATCCGTAAGACCACCAGGGTCAATTAAGAGAAATCACTGGTTTTGGTCAAAATAAAAGGGGCTCTCATGTGCCTTCTTCATAATAACATCTGTCACTCAGTACTGGGTATATTTACTTTGCCATAGGAATAAGGTGTGTTAAAAAAACCCCAAGGTTTGCCCACCACAGCACACTGTAGGTGGCTCCTGGAACTCTGTGTTAACAGCCTGTCCTTAAATAATGTCACAGCATCTCACGAGTCTCTACCTTCTTCAACTTCTACCTTTCCTGCCTCTGCCCTATCTGGAACATCATTATCATACATCAACCTTTTCCACTGAGATACTAACTGCCAAGGATTCATAAATCCACAAATTACTGATAAAAATAACAGTGAAATTATGGTTCACCCCAAACAGTCACTTAACCACCGCTTTTTGCAGTTTTATGAAACAACAAAACAGTCTGTTTGCCACTGTTCTCATATGACTTTGTACCCTGTGATCATTTAAGCAAATTAAATAAAGTATTTAATTGTTTAAGGAAAGACACGGCCACACAACAGCAGTATCTTAGTTTTCTTTTAGTAACACATTAACTGTGACAGTAACAGCATGGTTAGCTGCTGCCAGAACCACACCATGCATCTGTTACAAGACTTCAGTTTTGTCTGCTTCCTTAGATGAGGCAGAACTGCAGCTACCAAGATGGGAATGAGCACCATCTTAAGAGAATAAAGTATATGGGGTAGGATAACCTTGATTTTCTAACCTCTTTTTCTCCTCTGACTTTCAATTTATTGCATCAACGTGGGAGAACACATTTCTCAGAAGCCAAGCACTCCACCTGTAAAAAGGAGGTACTGTCTGACACGGTCTTCTGAACCTCTCTACATGCTCTGAAATTGTAAGATGGTACCTGACACTGATTCAAAGTATGATAAGTTCTCTTGCCCTCTAAATGCCACTGAGTAACGAGGCTTCATACAGGTTTCAGCTGAAGTATGAAATAATGTTTGTAAATGTGAACATGATTTTGAAGATGAGAGCTTTCTCTTAGGTTATTTTTCTTTTTAAAGATGAGAGACATAAGAAATAGCTTTTCTCTTTCTGCTTTTCTGGTCCTATTTATATAATTTTTCTCAGCAGAGGGTAAGTTCCCTTAGAGCTCTGCTGTACTACACCTTGCACTGTCAGAAAAGCAGTTACTGAGTAACAGGAAATGTGGCTCTAACGCTCCTGTGTTAATGCTTATCTTCACTTGAGTTACTCCTTACTCACCGACTGCTAATTAACTGAGAATAATTTAAACCTTTGTGAAGAGCAGTTTGAATATTCCTACCCGGTCCAACTAACTACTATGCTAAAATGATCCAAACCAAACATAGGAATTACAGCGTTCTGAATAATGTGTAAGCTCATAGGAAACCACATTTCACAGAACCACTTAACTACTGAAGAGCTGTTTTGGAGTACACCTACTTCACAAAGAACATAAACCTTCAACCTGAAAGCTGAAATTGGGGCCACTGCTGCAACCCAAGACTCTCTACATGCATCTTTAGTTTCAAAGAAGTATCTAGGGCAGTGCCATGGGCGTTCAGACCCAGTGCTGAACTATTTTCTCCAGGTAACCCACAACTCCAGTTTTGAAATCTAGACTCATTCATATTTGTCTCTTTCATTTTCTTGAAGTTTTTTAGCTCTTTCCACGTTCTCAATAAAAGTGCAACAAGTAAGACACTGAAAACAGAGAGAGCACTGTTCAAACACTGGTCACAAATTATCTTCTCAATCTTGTGAAAGCTACTGCAGATTATTAAAATATTACAATAAAAATGTTCTTCCCTGTGTGCTGGACGAAGAAAACATGATGCTACTGATGCATCCAGACAGAAAGTCTGCATGCACCATAGAAAATATACATCATGTGCCAACCCTTTCTGAGGTTTTAAGAACACGATTCAACAGAGACACTAAGAAGACTGATGTTGAGCCAGACCCAAAACATACCACAGGCTCAAAATCCTGTCTTTTAACACCTCACGGTCATTGCAGAGCATCTGGAAAAATAATTTATTGCATGTATACAATACTGGGAATGTTCCATGAGTCGGGACCCACAGAAAAATAGAAATACTATTTATTCTATCTTTAAGAAGGGATCTTAGTATTTTTCACATGCACTACTTGTGCTGAGTTTTTGCCTTGTTAAGCAACGGGCCTTGCTCGGTATTTATTCACAGGCTTTTCCTTTTCTAGACCTGTAGGACTTAAAACAGCACACTAGAAAAAAATGTAAATGCAAAGGCTGGCCAATGCATGTTGGATGACTTCATGAACAGAGGAAAAAAATCCACTGGATGGCCTCACACACTTAGAAATGGCAGGGACAAACACTACTTTTCTGTTCTAAAATATCTCTCTGCAGAGGATAATTTGAACTTTAAAGTCACATGATGAAATCATAGGTTTGCTAAACAGGCAACGTGTATGGTTTGAATGACTTAAACCAAGTTCCTGTTTCCTTTACAGAACTGTATGTTTTTGTAGTCAGTGAGCGTCTGGATTTTTCATCGTGATGTACAGCAGCTAAAGAAGTTACTGTAATATATACACTCTGCTTTCTGCATAAATAAAAAGGGCTATATGCTCCAAACAATAATTATATTTCATCTGACTATTCATAGGGAAAGATTCAGCCTGTTTGTATCTGTGGAGCATTTTCTTGAGAAGGTAAGTGCTTTATATTACTTTGAATATGCAATGTTTTATTCATCACAAGAGGCTCAGATTGTGAAGTTATAATTTAAAGGGTTTAGTTTTCCTTTCTTTGACAACATTTGAACTACACAAAGTGAAATACTGTATCTGGAAATTTATAATAAAGCTGAGCATTAAATAGAGGAAAAGAGACTGTTTTCTGGTAAGTACCTAACTCCCTTTGAACTGATGATAGCCGGATGATGAAACACTCTTCCATGGTCTGGAGAAAAGGCTCCAACCATTGCCTAAAAGCAGCATTTTAAAAGATAGACATTGTTGGATAATCCGGACTACAGAGCGGGAATTGTATAGGACAGGAAACACGTCAGCAATGCTGCTTGAAGATTATGTTCAGTTACTGCTGATTCATTTATATTCTGGAAAAGTAAAAATAGAAGCTTTTGGATTCTCAGGAAATGGTTAATTTCTCAGAAGTTAAGGGTAGGAAAATTGTAAACCTTTACCACCTCAGTAGGAATTCTGACATTACAAGCAAGATGAATATAGTATTTTATATTTCAGTCTTTCATATGCTGTGAGCTGCCCCCTTCTTTTAACTTGGCAGATGTAATACAAACAGAAAGGACAAATTCACCCCCGAAGTACGTGCAGTGGTTTCAGCGATTAATACAGGACATGCCCCCCAAAAGCTGAGTTTCATAAGGAAAATCATGTACATTTTTTATAACTAGATGAAAGAATATTTTCCTTCAAAAGGCTGGTGACAGAATGCAGAAAGACTGCCCTGCCAGACTTTTTATAGAGGAAGAGTTCTAGCTGCCAGGGAGAAACATTTTAGGAGCTCCTCTTTCTAGACTTCAAATAAACAAAAGTTTCCTTGAAACCAAGCTTTTCGTTTGCACAAGTTAACCATCAAAGTGGGGATGAGGGACCAAAAACAATGAAATCTTAGAAACTGGGTTCCCTCAGTACTGAAAGTAGGCTTTTCAGAGCTTGTTATTTTTAAGCTGTCTTCTGAACACTGTGCTCATTTGCTCAGCTCCATCTGTTGGAAGTGAGGGATAACGTATGCCCTGTGCTCCAGAGAGTAAGAATCAAACATTTTTGCTTTAACTGCTGACACAAAAGGCAGAGCATATGATAGTGGGGAAACAGGGCCAGAAAAAGGGAAGGGGGCGAACAAGAAAAAAGCAAGGGAATGTGAAGTTAAGTAAGAATTCACTAATGATGGTCAATTAAAACAACGTGAGGAAACAGAGTTAAAGAAAAGACAAAATATTGGAGCGTGACAATACAGGGACAAATAATGCAAGTGGCATATTGCAAGTTACCCTTATTAATCAATCTTAGGAGGAACAGGAATGGGCCTGGCTTCTGCCATAGCTTCTATATATGTGAGCTTTGACACGCTACATATTACTCTCAGTTACCAGTGAGTAAACAGAAGTAACAGTCAGTTTACCTCATAGTATGTTCTGAGGAAAAAAAAAACCCACATTCAGGTCTCAAGGTGTTTGCACTCAAAGCTGACAGATGCCTCTAAAAGAGTAAAGGAGTCATGGCCCCCCACCAAGCAGAGCATAAACATTACATGCATTTTGAAATAAAACATATGCCCCTGCAGTAAATCTTAAGACCCAGACAAGAACTGAGGGAATACCAGATTTTCTCACAGTAGATGAAAATGACATAATAAATTCCTTACTTTTTTATGATGGAAACTCAAAGCATTTGAATGAAAAACATGGTCAGCTGCATGGGGATTTTGAAATAAAAGATGTGAAATATAAAACACCCTGGTGCTCTGCTGCTCCCATGGAACTTATCTTTTTATTTTACATGAAACAAGTATTATCAAAAAAAGTCTATTAAAATTTGCAAATATGTTCATCTTACTACAGCAGAAGTTGCAAGCTCCTCCATCCCATTATTATTCTAAGCATACATTTACTTCAGTGCAAGAAACTGACACTTTGGGAATCTTTTAAAAATGTATAGGCTTAGAAATTTTAAGAGTTGCTTTCCATGGTAGATGTGCACCTTACCGTCATTAAAGTCCCTAAAGCCATCCATTCCAGTGTAAGCAAACATAGAGAGAGGTTATGCCATCTGTGACTATACTCAAGCCATCAGCTGCAGAGCGTGCAAAGGAGTCAGATTTTTCTGATAAGGTCCAGTTTATAATCTCACCTGGAAAACCCTAATGCAGCAATTTCATGAGCTGATAAGCAATGCATCTTGTAAAGTGCTATATATATATCCTGAAGCTTCACTGAAATAATTATGAAGAGACAAATACTGAAAAGAAATAGACCGTAGGATAAGGTCATAAATTAGAAATATATATCTAAGTGTGAGCATGCTAGAGAGAAGAACCTATTTATATTAGCTTGTATTAAGTATTAGGCATATTCGATTGCAGACACCTGCACACGAGCCTTTCTTACCACAATCTGAACTCAAAATTGCACTTCCTCTCTTTGAAATAATTAGTGAGACACCAGAGCCAAATAAGACAGTAGTCTTCCATTATCATTGTGATCTATTATTTTTAAAGCAGGATAAAACGTTCTAGGAATAATTTAAGGGGGAGTAGAAATAATATCTGCATTAACTTTAACCTTATTTGCTAAAACAAAAAATATTTCAGAATAAGCTACAAACTACTAGCAGATATTTCTTTCACTGTGACGAACACACTACTGAATTCAAGCAAGCATTATGCTCGTATGGACTAACCACAGCAAATCTGCAGACAGCTTGTTGTTTTGGTAAAATTTTGTTTGTGTGGGAATCCTAAGGTGATCTTCTGGAAGTTCCCTTTAAAACAACACACCTGGAAATCTTTCCTTAAGTCACAATTTTAATACCCTGAGTATGATTATACACATACAGTTGCAGTGTTATTTCCCAAGTGAGTATGTTATTCTAGGTTGAATACATGGCTCTTCTTTAGTTTAAAGCTCTTACCAGATGAGACAATTCAAAAGACACACATTTATATTAGAATAACAATGTCTAGGTGGAAAATCAGGGTAGTATTGACATCACTGCTACTATTTGACAGTAATGTTAAGTAACGATCTGTGGTTATGAGCATTACAACCCAAATGAAACTATTTCATGCACTCATTTTGACACCTATGACAAATGAAGCCTAAACACATCAATAGCCTCTATGTAATATGGTGACGGTCTGTCATTAAAATATCACAACATGCAAACTGGTGGGTACAGAAAGAGAAAACAAGATGATGCACTTTTGCGCAGTTAAGTTGCAACTACTGGAATGTGCCGCATGAAGTCTAACATTCCTTACTTTGTCTTAAATGCCCAAAGATTAGCTAACTAAAATGAAAATCCTTTCCTGTGGTCAAAAATGAAGACAGTGTCAGTACCAAGGCCAGATCCTGAGCAAATTCAATCGAGTTTTGGCCTCACAGTTTTTTCTGCAGTTTGATTTCTTGTGAAACCCAAAACTATGTCCTTTGTTTCCTTTGCAATTATGCTACCATAAAAGCTGAATGTTGCTAAGTTATTCTGAGAGTCTCTGCAAGGACAGTAAGCACGGTTAGTTGGCTCATGGTATAAAAGTTATTGAGAAGATAATGAAGACCTTCAGAGTGACAGAACAAAATTCAAATACTCAGCTCTCCAAAAGGCCTGATAAGACTAGAAGGTAACACTGGAAACTCTGGTGGAAGAGCTCAAAATGTAATTATTTCTTAACCTCCTGGAACTACGGAGTGGGCTTTCTACAGATGCTCAAGTGGTTCCACTTTCTCTAACAGTCACAAATTACCTGTCCTTCAGCAGATTAAGCTTCAAATCTCTCTTGTAATACAAGGTCAAAATTTGACTTTCACTTTCCTTCATTCTTGAGATTTCTCCCAGGTATTTAAGAAGAGACAAACTGTAGAAGTTAGAATTTCATGGCCTTCAGATTTCCAGGAAATAAAGCAAGTCTGTCAAGCTCCATGGCTGGCTGCAGCTGTCTGAACAGAATAGCACAGTGCATCACTTTTAGGCATAGAACCAAAGCGAAGTGGAGAGCACTGCTGCTACTCAATTACAGAGAAATTTTCTAGATTCCTCCCGCCAGTGCTTCAGTATTACATAATTTAGAAATCAGATCAGTTATATTTCGAAAGAGATGGGGAAATCACTGGTATGAAGAAATACAAAAGGCCAAACAGTTAACTACAGTTGTGAGGTTTGGCATGCGTGGTTTAAGTTTGTGCTTTTTCTTCTTAATTATTCTCACTCTTCAGTTTGAGTACTTTCATACTGAGTCCTTCTTAGTGGTTCATACTAAACATCAGGTGAACAGAAACAAATGCTCTACTGCAAGCATTTAACATGCATTTCCACAATTAAGAAGACAATATTTCCTCCCAACACCTGTCATCTTTGAGATTTTTCATTCTCTTTTCCTTACGATTGTTCACATTTAACAATCTATGTTTAGGCTTCAAAATTATATTGATTCTTCACTTGCTTCAGAGATTTCCACCAGTTCTGCCCATCAATGCTTTCCTATATGGTAAACTTCATCTCAGAGGTTAGAACACAGCCAGAGTTCTGACCAGCCAACTCTTCCCCTCCTTCAAGTGTACCTGTAGCAAAAACCAACTTCCCTGGGTGCACGAGGCCTTCCTGTAGTGAAATCTCTCAAAAAATAACCTTTTCTAGAAGGCAAGAAGCTCTGTCTTTAAAAGGGGACAAAGAACACCACTGAATCAAAACATAACTCCATGGGTTTATATAAATGAAATTATAATTACATAAGATTATATACACACTTAATCAAAGCCACTTTGATAAGTCAACTTTTCTAATTAAAACCAGTATTAGAATTCCAATTTTGAGGAGAGATTAGAAATATCAGAAATACGAAGTAGTGTCAGAGGTAACAACCATAAATGAATTGCCAAACAGTATTAAGACGCTGACTTATCTATAATGAACACTGCTTAAAAACATTAATGCAACGTTATGAACTTTTACCAATTTAAAGTTACTTTCACTTTAAGAGTTAACATCACTACAATCCTTTTATGGGAAATGCATTATGTACAACTAAATATATCACTCTTGTTACCAGTATGACTGTACAGAAACTTCTGTACGAGAGAACTCTGCTGTCCTGTCTTTGCCTGGTGTGCCGTCTACATACACTGCTTGTACACACTAGCTTTGCATACAACGGAACAAAGTAAAATCACCAAACTCTAACCTAACACAAAATTGAAATCCTTGTGAGTAAAAAAGGTTCTTTTTTTCTCAGAAAACAACATTCTACGCTGTTGTAAAACTGCCTGTATGTTTAACTTTTTCCGGTACTAAGGACCATACTTAATCAGAAATTCAAAATTCATTAGGAATAATGAGTCCATTATCTTGCTTTTCTTTAGTACATATTATGTTCTCTTACAAAGGTTTTTGGCTTAAAAAAGAATCCTTCAAATATTTATATGGTAGCAGAATTATTGTATGAACATATCATAGAGTCATTACAGCTAACAGCCTATGCATATTACTCTTCAAATTCCCTATTTTCAGGAATTTATAACTCAGCTGTAAAAAATATTCCTTCCTAAAACTTTATCAATAGGTTTATAATGCACGGGTAATAATTTTCTCAAATTTAAGCATGCAGAAAACCATTATTTTTCACAGTTTTATGCAACAGTTATATCTAAAAATGACAGTGTTATTAATGTATAAAGATGCTTTAGCATGAAAGCAGCTTGCTCATAACAGTTAAGCATTCACATTGATTCTATATGAGCTCCTCAGTACAGACTGCTGTCACAAAAGGCTTTTTTTTTCATACCAGAAAGGAAACAAAACTACAAACAAAGAAGGAATGTGGCTCTTGCCTCATATTGTGATTATCTTTGCACTTTCCTCAGTATTCAGTGTGAGCCATGAGACTGTGAACTGGGTTCTGACAAAATTCCCACCCATGCAACAGCACAGAGAAGTTATTCTGTGGCTGTAGCTGTAACCCACACACTGGAGCTGTCCTTACCCTTTTTTGGCAGGATAGTGAGGAAAAGTGGCTCCACCTAATCCCAGAGCCAACTGCTTCCTCGCCCGCCAAACAGCCAACTCCCCCATCTATTCTACAGGCAACATGAGAGCGCTGAATCCTGGCTGCTGTCTACAGGGCTGAGCCACAGTGAAGTCCGGTTTGCACGAGGGGAGGAAAAGGGAGCAGTGGTGAGAGCAGGAACCAGATAAATAAAAGGGCAGATCTCACTGGCTAAAAATATTATGCAAGTTAGCCTAAAATTAACACAGGAACGTAAAATCCACCAAAAATATACTACAGCTATTCTGAACAAATGGTCCAGACTCCTGACTGCACATCATATTTAACGCAGAAGTTACAAACTGTACTTTAAAACCTGTTTCACCTTCCTTTTCCATTTCAGATTCAAACTCCATTGAACAGGAAATAAGCACGGCGTGGAGGGAAGGATGGCGTCTCACAACATGACATGGATCAGCTACCCAAGCAAGAATTTGGCTTTCAACTCCCCAGAAGAAATCGAAGCCTTCATAGCTTCTCAAAACATCATATCAAGACTTATGCACTGCTACATCGCTTTTTTTGTACCAACAGGATTAATAGCTGGCATATGTATTTTGATCATTTTCATAAAGAATTATGTGCAGCACAAGGTCATAGAAAACTTAGACTTACTTCTTCTAGCCTTCACCATCAGCAATATTATAATGATTCTTTTATCATTTTCTGTTATCACTAGACCTGACTATTTAAAAGCAACTCACCTCGCGTGTAATGTACTGTCATTTTTTTTCAACTTCAGTTATTTCAATTCTCAGTATGTTTTCTTGCTGACACTTCTCATACTATTACTGAAGAGATTTCCACCAAGGACTGCTCTCAGCAAAGCAACTCAAAGACCCATATTGTGTGTTGGATTTGTACTTACATATGCCTTCTGCTTGTCACTGACTGAGGCAGTACTGGTTGGCACAGATAACTACCACTTGGAAACAGACTGCCAGTTAGATCCATTATTTGCATGGCCTGAATACGAGATCATTAAATTCACCTTTGGATTTGCAATCCCATCATTTCTTCAGATACTCTGTTTTACTGTTCTCGTCGCAAAAGAAGCACCTGCTGAAGCTCCAGCCTTACAACAGCACATTCGTACTTACCCTGCTGCGTATATTATAAGCATAACGATATTTATATGCCGTCTCTTTTACAACGTTATGCTTCTCTTCAGGACAACATTCAAACTACAGAAGAGCATTGGAACTCCAAAGAATGAGCTTGTGATGAATATTGCAGAAATTGTGTTGTTCTGTGAGAGCTGTGCTAGTTTGGTACTTATACTTTGTTTTCATAAACCATGCAAGGATGAAGTACTTAAAGTCATCCAGAACTGCCGAAGGAAAAACACTGCCAACAATCACCTGGAAATACCAGTAACAGCTACAACCCATGGAAGTGGGTCTCAGTAATACCCAGTTGTTCGGAGGAACTGTCAATCCATTTTACTTTTGAGTTTGTGGGTTTTGGTTCATTTTTTTCACTTCTTCAAAAAAGGGTAATTGTTCCTTCTTTAGAAACCAAACTTGGACTGTCTTGCAACTAGCAGTTCTGAACTGAAGAAAAAAAAGATTCTTAGTGCTAGTATTAGCAGTGATCTATGAGAAAACATGTAAGGTCTGAGGTTTTTTTTGCATATATATATATTTAAATCGCCTACAGTGTTACTTCAAAGCCAAGTAGTAAGAAAAGTACTGCTGCCATAGAAGTGTGCTTTTGTAATACCACCACTGCCCCAGCAAAGTTGCAAGCAAAAACACGGTAGAAAACAACTTTGAACAAAGGTAAAAATCTTCAGCCAAAGCATTTTCTCAGGTGTGCTGCTGCTTCTGATTTCTTAGCCTACAAACTACTTATTTTTATAACAGTGGTTAATTCCAGTAGCAGCAGCAGTGAAGTATGGCTTAAGAATCCATTATAACCCTGAAAGAGTATGTAATACTGTACATCTACTGTAGCACTTGCTTAGACACACACACACGCACACAAACTAAGCATTTCTTCCCTTTTTCCGTTTTCCTCTTACACTTTTATTGGAGCCCTTAAGGTTTTCGTCTGAATTCGTGTTCCAAAAAAAAAAAAGAAATAAAATTCAAATTAATGGAAAGTCTGGTCCATAAAGGAAAGCTTCAGCTCCTTTGTGAGGCACTGAACTGGAAAGATCAACAGGATGGCTAATTAAAACTCTATGCAAGAATGAAAGGTTTTCGTTAATGTACTCTAAGCTTCAACTCTGCATTAAGACTTAGAGCAATTATTGATTTAAGCCATTCTTGATGAGTTCATTCAGAAGTATGAAGATGCCTTGGAAGAGTCACACAATAATATACTAACTAAAAGAACAGGCGAAAAGCCAGCCCAGAACAGTAGATGTGAGGCATATTTGAAACTGGGCAGAACCCAAGTTTCAAACTGAAATCAGGGCTCTGCTAGAGACAAGACAGGAGCATAATACATTTAGTTTAGAATTCCTGTGTAAATGGTACAAAATGGGGAAGAAAATCTGAATCAGAAAATAAAACAGCTTTGGTATAGGAGTTCAGTTGTAGCCCTGCAGAATCAGCAGCCAATGCAGACCGAGATGTAGGTGCAAAGTTTTAAACGCTTGCTTTGAGCACACTGTTACTGTAACTGAATTTGGTCAGGAGCATCTTAGACATTTGGTTTTAGTTTCAGCTTTTCCTCTCATAGAGCTGGAGGGAACTGAAACAACAGGGAAGTTCGAAAATTGTACTAGGGCATGTAGTGACGGGAAAAGGGGGAATGGCTTTAAACTGACAGAGGGGTGATTGAGATTGGACATTAGGAAACAATTCTTCACTAGCAGGGTGATGAGACAATATAACAGGTTGTCCAGAGAAGCTGCAGATGCCCCACCTTCCAGGACAATCCTTTTCTGGGCAGCAGTGGAAGGTGTCCCTGCCAGTGGCAGGGGGTTGGAACTAGATGATCTTTAAGTTCCCTTCCAACCCAAACCAGTCTGTGATTCTGTAATTCTATAAAGATGAAGACTTATATTGGCATGATGAGGAAAGCTCAAGTGACCTAAAGGGTTCTGAGAAAAGCCACTTTTATACTTAAATATGTGCCTTTGAGTAACACCTGCATGCTAATGGAAGTGACAGATTTGCTTTCGGAGTTGTATGCTTTGAAAGGGCTTCCTGACAGGGTCCAGATTTGTGTAGAGAGTTGGTGCAAATGAGCACAAGCTGCCCGAGACAAAGCAAGCACTGATCAGTCAAGAAGAACATCTTCTGTAAAACAACAACTAAGTGCATAAATGGAAAAATTATATTTGCTCAACAGTAACAGTTTCTAGACCCAGTATTTAGATATATGGATCTAGTCTTACACATCCAAGTCCTGAAATGCATGGACCATGACTGCATCACATGCAAATAAAGGGCAATACGTAGTCTTCAGTCAGCTATGACCGTAAGAACCGATGTTTCTGTGAGATGCAAAAATCAGCTGGTAAGACGTCTGCACTGTATTAAGTCAGCCTGTTTTCCTGTTCAATTTTGTTCTGTTGCCAGCATGAACAGATGGCTAATTAAAGGACACTACATATAAACAGACCATTATAGAACCTGGTCAGAAAGGAAGTACGTAGATAATCATCTCTTTGAATCCAAGACCCAATGTCATACTTGTGAAAGGATTTCTCAGCTGGCATCAGAGATTTTGTTTTGCACCTGAGAAGGAGGAGATTAAACAACATGGACCAAATATCAGCCCTGCAGAAAGAAGTTTGAAGAGACGAGTTCCAAGAGCTGTACATCAGTGAAAAAGCTGACAGACTGAATGAAAGAGGATGGAAGAAGATGCGAGCTGTTTATCACAATTCAGATGAACATCATAGTTTCAGCTGCGCCATGGATAAGTAGGTTATTTTCCAGTGCGGCAATTATGCTCAAAGGATTCTACTTTATCCACTGCTTCTATATATTTTATATTTGAGGATGAAAGAATAAATATTGTGTTGTTTCTGAGTCCTGAGTTACTGTTAAAGGTGCCCAAAAGAAAACCTAGTAAATGTTGGCTTTAGTTAATGCTCACTGGGACCTGGAAGCTGGTCTAACAATGAGTGAATCTGTAAGGAACCTAAAGGTTCAACACAGGTGGAAGGATGATGCTTCCTGATACTCTCAGCAAGGAACACAGCTGAAGCACACCCATAACCAAATGTCTCAAAGTAATAAAACCAGTAGGGCCTTACTGTCAGAGCTAGGATCTGGGAACAAGTATATCTTGATATATCAATGACCAAGTCTGTGTTATCCTGGATATAGCTCCTGGCTGAAGTCTGTGAGGTGCGAGTGAATGTACTCTTGCCTCTTTCCTGTCCATGTCTACTGTCATGGGGAAAAGAGTATTTTCTGGATAGCCAGTTATATTGTCATAAAGAAATCTGTATGTGCAATGAAAAGATTTTGAATAGGAGAAAAGAAGAGTAAACAGCAGAGAAGAGGTGGAAAAATGCATTAAAATAATTCAAACAGTTATAAACTAACTTCCAGCAGTGCATAAATGTTCTGCTAAATCATTCTTGATAGTTACACAGAGCTTACATTAAGATTCAGGACAATGAACGTACCATCCCAGCAAAAACCTATTTGTACCCAACTAGATGAGCACAAGTACCCCTATGTGCAATAGAGGAAGGAACAGAAACTGTCCCCAAAAGGCATTCTAAAACAACTTGACACAAGGGAGAAAAGAGCAGCTTTGACTAAGATTAAAAGTAATAATTTAAAAATAGCTAATAATTTTAATTGTATTTTTAAGAACAAAATAAAATGTCCCTGCTCTGAGAGACTTCTTTCCCCTACAACAGCAACAGCTTTGCTGAACGCTTATGACTTCCAGGCCTCCCCTAATTTTGAACAGTATGTTCCAGAAGAAAAAGAGCATATATTTTTATAGGCAAGATGTCAAAATTAACTGAAGGAATACACTGGAAAATTCAAAGAAGAATATTTTACTTCTGCACTGGTAATACTCCTTTCTTCATAAGACTTTGGCCTGCTTTTGAATAAACCTTTCCATTCAGTAAAAGAAATGAGCTGGCTGCTGAAGTTTAAGCATGAATTTCTGAGTTGGTAACATTTTGGAAAAGAACATGTAGAGACTCATCTTGCTAAGCCAGCTGACTCAAATCTGCTCTTATCCCACTGCAAAACAACATCTGAGCTAAAGAGAGATTGGATTTGCACACTTGAATCAAAACTTGAGCTGCTACGCCCATGTATTACTAAGCCCTAGTTACATTCTAATTTCAAACATACAAACCCTGAAAGGGCTACAGCATTACTTATCTTGATTTTGAGATAGTTGCAGAAGTTTTGGGGTAAGGCAAAAGCTAAAGCAATTCAGCTAAAATAAGTACTCTATATAACATTTACATTACACATGTGTGACAAATTACCACTGACTAGAATCAAAGAATGCATTTCACCTCCATGTGGGTACAAGTGCCCTGCAAAGGGCTGCCGGACGGCACAACTAAAGTGAAAACCATTGGTGCTTTGCAGATTGTATTTCTTCATCGTATCTGGATAGAGCCTGAAGTCCTGTGATGAATCACCTTTCACTCGACAACATTTTGTGGTCCAGTTTTGTAAAATTTTTATATTATCCCCAAGAGACTTGCAATATACACTTTAAGAAAAATAAAAACTTTTTACCAAAATAGTTTACAGGGCGTTGCCCCTGCCAAAGAAAAGGCTGAACTTCTAAAACTTATTTTTAGTAAGAAAAATGCATTCTCGGAGTTACTGGCAACTGAAATGCCTAAACACAAAATCCACTCTAGCCAAGGTTTTCTGCGGGCATAGAACACAATTCCAAGTCAAACTAAGTTTGATTATTTGCAAGAAAGGGAAAATTACTGAGAACGGGCAGGATAAAGTGTGAAGCTGCTCCAAAACAGGGTAACGGACACAACCAGATGTCATTCAGTGGCTGAAAAAGGTCACAGTCAGTATCCATGTAACAGAAAGATGAGAGAGAATTTGGAGGATGAGATCCATCTACTCATAAAACTTCATGGACATTGTAACAGCATCTCTATTTCCTCTATACTCACACCTCACACTTTCTTCCTCCTCAGCTCTCACCTTTTTGCAACACAACAGCAGGCCCGTATGTTGAAGCCTGCTAAATTATATAGAACATCTTTTGCTATAACCACTTTTAGCCTCTTGGTGCATCTTGTTGCACAATTAGCGTTCCTTAAAGACTCCACAGTCATAGACATGTTGAGATATATACAGAAGTTGTCTACTACAGATTTAAAAATAAACCTTAATTTCCTTTATTTAAGGAAAATCTTAAATGCTGGATTACTGAGGTCTGACATCATACAAATGCTATCACATCAGTCCATTTCACACGTTTTAGCAACAAACAAGGTAAGGTATGAGAGGCAGAACCGTAATGGTTAATACTGTCACAACTGTGAATCAGAATGGATCATTACTGCATTCCCTATGAAGTCCCATGGAATATCAGCAATTGACAGGGAAGGAAGAAGAGTTCAATGTTCAGCAGCTGCTGAAATGAATTTTAAGCATTTTATGGAATATGGAAGTGATGAACAGGGAGATTAAACTAGATTAATCAATAACAATAATTTGACTGCATAAACAAGACCCTGAATATGTTGCCATCTGGTTTAGGAAACAGGATTCAAAGGATTCACGTGATCATCTCATATTTACTTAAAAACTAGTTACAATATAGTAATACTAGATTTGGCCTCTTATGCTTCAGAGTTCTCCTAGCAGGAAAAGCAGCTGCTTCATGGGTCTCTCAGAAGAGAATTTCCTAACAATTCTGGAAATATGGCAGTGACATATTTGTTACCATGAAGTCAAACCAGAAAAATAGCACTCAGGATATTACATTTTAATAGCAAATCAGCTGATACTCACAGGTAGAAAACCAAAGGCAGAGAGACCAGCTGATTATCAAATCCAGGCCGCCAAAATTACAAACAACTAACACCCAGAAGCTATAAAGGAAAGTAAAAAATCCTTCTGGCCCTTACAAGATCAGTAAAAGCTCTGAAGGATGGAATTAAGTACAGCAAAACCACATGATCAGCAAACAACAAAAGCTTTTTATAACCCTTTAGGGTTCTTTAGGACAGCAAAAAATCAAGATCTTCAAAGCTGGTATCACAAGATTTTTCTAACAGCACAATTATTCCAGTATACAATGCAAACATATATGTACACTTCTCAAAGCAAAACACTTGAGGCTCCCGTCCTTATAACCCTGCAGAAAGACACTCCAGAAAACCATTCCATACACAGGGAAAGTCATCTGTTCAGCACTAATTTGTGCAAGGTTTCTTTTGGCTAAATGATAATTTATCCCAAACCTACTTGTAGACAGCAATCATGTACGAGCATCTTTAAAAACATGTTTAGTAACACAGCAAAAATCCTGTGTTCCACAAAAAGCCAGCAAATCACGTATTTGCCTCAACGGCATTAGAAGGCAAAGTGCCTTCTACTCCCAAAGCCACTTGTGTAAGGAACTTTTGCTTCACTTTCCTATAGATGAGATCTTTTGTAATCTAAAGATATTTGGCCACTGTAATAGATGTAACACATCCATTACACTGACCTGTTAATTGTTTACTCCACACTTCTGAAACTGTAACGCTGTCTTCTTGAAATCCTAAATGCTGAAATCCAATTCATCTTATTCCTGTAGCAGCAGAACAATGCATCAACGTACAGCATATCCATTTCAGCATATCCATTTATGGCACTTAACATTCGGGAATCGGATCAGTGTCATCCTAAAAAGCAATTTACAGAAATTATTTCTTTTATGAGAAAGGTTTAACTTTCTTCCTGTTCTAAGAACCCTGGCCACCAGCAGGTGGTGTTTCTGGAAATGTCAAGTAGTTTTTTTCCCCCCTACAGATGAAATGCAAAACTCCACCTGCAACACTGGTGGGTTTATGCAAGGCTGAGGCTCCACATTCTCTGCAAAATAGGCTTGTTTTATCCATGTGATTTTTCAGCTGAGCAATCATAAGAAGCATGAGGATGATGATGTATACCTGAAAATTTAAATACAAATAGGCAAAATGGGATCAACTTGAAGGTAGGAAAACTGGAATTTATATTGTCAGTCCAGCAAATGACCCTTTGCAGCTGCTAGATTACTCTCAATAGAATTTTACTCTTTGGATAGTCCAGGGGCTTTTAAAATCATACTGCATATAACAGCAACTATTGCTTTTTATCTATGTAGAACACGCTTAGTTACGATCAGCAAATAAATCTCTTCATTATTGATCAGCTGAGCTGTAGGTTTGAATGAACTACATAACCTTTAAAAATGCTAGGGGCAGAAAGGAGGATGAAATGAACATAAGGTACAATAAAACGAGCAAATATGAGAGAAAAAATGCTTGACTAGCCCTAGTAAAAAAGAAACCAGCAGAAACAGGGTTAATTCTAGCCTTATAAGGCTGTTCAGCAGCACTTCAACTGCACACAAATTAGAACAACCCTGGGAATCTATAAAGCTTGTTTTATTGCCAAGGACAGGCAGCAAGATCTGCATTTTGCTGCTGTAAACTATCCTTTATTTAAGACATTTTAAAGCAGAATAGACTTTTATATGATGTTTTTTACTGCTGCATCATCAACAGGTGGCATTCGTTGCAGCTTTACACACCTAAATGCAAGTTCTCCCGGACACGACTGTTGAAGTTGGCACATCTATTAAGCGTGTACCAGAGCAAGAAACAGCCTTCTGTTGACCGGAGGAAAAATCAGCTCTGCAGAAATGGAATTAAGGTAAAATAAAGTGTTTCACAGTACATGGTTACCTGTAATGCTTGTAATTGCTTGGCTTTTGGTGGCCTTTCAGGTGTAACTAAAACCTGACCATCGACCAACCTTTTAAAATCAACTGCTGAGACTGTTAACTTGTCTTGTATTTAAAGCAGTTTTACTGCCTTATTCAAAAATAAAAGGATGTTACATAAAAACCAACAGCTCACGTCTGACGCCCATCGCTGCTTGAAACAAACACCAAGCTTGCTTCAAATAAGTGTAACTTCATATGGATATTTTAACATAAAGATTGACATTATAATGATGATTTAAAACACAGCAACAGCTACTGTGTACTTATGCCTGTTTCATTAAGAAATAAAAGCTTTGGAACTGATAACCTTTATTTCTTTAAGTGTCTGCTAGCTACTTCTGTTAATAGGAATATATTTAAGCAAACTCAGAGCTGTATTTCTGACTGAAAATATTCTACACTCCTGCTCCATTAGTGGTCTGCTCCTTTTTCTCCCCCAGATTGTAAATTAGCAGGAACTGAGTCATTAAAATGTGGAAATATGCATGAATTTTACTAGTAAACAATTCAACTTTATTATGTTTTAGTGTCATTAAAATCAAGGGTTTGGGAGTAAAATGAAGATTAAAGCAATTCACAATATTTAAAACTTCACACACAGTACCCTGAGTTATAATTTTATCGCTGTTTTATTTGTTTGCGGTGTCTTTTGTTTGTTTTATTCCTTTTAAATAAACTTCCAGCAATCCTTTAAGTCCATACCATTCACCGCATATAAGTAAACAAATCAGATAACTGGTATTTTCCATTCCTATCCGGAAGTCAGTGCAACATAATTAATCCCAAAGAAAAGCAAATTGAGTATAATAGTGTTGGTGTAAATCAATATGCTGCTCGTATTACCTTTATTTCCAAGACTTGACTTTCCTTCCTACTGAAAGCAGGAGGAACCAACTGCTTTTTATCTGTTGCCTTCTCAGACACAGACTGCTACTTCACAGCCTTACAAGATGATGACGAAATAAATATATACATCATATATACATATAAACACACATATATAAACATAGATAAGGCTTTTTCCTCTGTTGACTAAACTCACTCATCTAATTTTCTCTATTTTTACATTTTCCAATACTGAGAGCACACAAAATTTTTCCAGATCTGCCCTCATGACATACTATAATCTAGAGCAAAATGAAATAATTTTAACTAAACCTTTGTATATATACTCAAACATGATGTTTTCTACAACCTCATCTGTGGATGTTAAATTAGCAGAAGCCTATGGCACGTAGTACAATGCTGGATTATGAGATTAATCATTTTCCATTTACAAATTGCAGGTCCAAGGATGTTCATTGAGTATTAAAAGAAAACAAATGGAGCTAAAACTCTACCTTCCAGCCTGCATGAAGAAATACCGTTGATGAAAAGCTTTTGTTACAGAGACCCAAGTACCATAATGGTAAAAAGATTCCTACATGATTTTAAGGCATACAGGAACTGCAAATTCTCTCATTTGCGATGTATATAGTGTCCTGTAAAAAAAAAACTTAAGAAATTTACTGTATGTACTGTTATATTTCAATGTTAACTAATTTGACTTCTAAAGAATTTTGATTTCCTAAATGAAAGTGTACATCTTTTTTCAATCCAATCAAAATGCTTACCTTGAACTTGGCTGAAAACAACAAAAACCCTGATTTTTTTGGCATTACCACCAAACTGTGAGTACTAGTATCTTTTCCGCAGATATTTCAACCATGGAAGCTTACTCTGCCTCATTATCACCCATTATATGTAATGGCACAGCTTTCAACCTAAATGGATCACATTTGTGTAATGAAAGCTTATCTTCTAGATTAGCTGATAAATCAGAACACCAACAATATGTTATTGGTCTTTTCTTATCATGTCTTTACACAATATTTCTTTTTCCCATTGGTTTTGTAGGAAACATTCTGATACTGGTTGTCAACATAAGCTTTCGTGAAAAAATGACTATTCCAGACCTTTACTTCATAAACCTTGCAGTAGCTGATCTCATTTTAGTTGCTGATTCTCTTATTGAGGTTTTTAATCTTGATGAAAAGTATTACGATATCACTATTATTTGTACCTTTATGTCTTTGTTCCTTCAGATCAACATGTATAGCAGCATTTTCTTTCTGACATGGATGAGTTTTGACAGATACATAGCACTGGCAAAAGTAATGAGGTCCAACATATTTCGCACTATGCAACACGCTAGAATAAGCTGTGGTCTCATATGGATGGCATCTATTTCTGCAGCACTAGTTCCATTTACAGCTGTGCATTTACAACACACCGGAGAGGTCTATTTTTGTTTTGCAGATGTAAAAGAAATCCAATGGCTAGAAATAACCTTGGGGTTTATTATCCCCTTTGTGATCATCGGTCTTTGTTACTCACTAATTGTTCGAGTTCTTATAAAAGCCCACAAGCACAGGAGTCTTCGTCTGCGGCGACAGAAGGCTCTTCGAATGATTTTTGTTGTTGTCTTGGTTTTCTTTATCTGCTGGCTACCTGAAAACGTCTTCATTAGTGTTCAACTTCTTCAAAAGAAAAGCGAGCCTGTGTCTTCAAGCAGCCCATCCTTCAGACATGATTATCCTTTAACAGGACATATTGTGAACCTAGCAGCTTTTTCTAATAGCTGTTTGAACCCTTTAATTTACAGTTTTCTAGGGGAAACCTTCAGAGACAAACTGCGACTGTACATTGAACAGAAAACAAAAATGTCAACATTGCATCGCTTTTGTCAGGCTGCCTTCACATCTGTCATTCCTGACAGTAATGAGCAATCAGAAGTCTGATTTAGGAGTAGCTGTATAAAACATATGACTGTGAAGTTGTGCAAACAGTGAACAAAATGCTTTCTACTAACAGAAAAAAAGTGCATTTGTGTGTGTGTGTGCATATATATATTAGTATTACTCTACTGAGTATTGAAGGTTTATATTCAAAATGTTTTTATGACAAGACTTAAATGTAGAAGCATGTGTTAGTCAGATTTAATTATGAACAGGATTATTAAAAGCTGAGCACTGAAGGAGCTTTATTTTATATTACACATGTATGAACAACAATATGAAGGGGAATTTTATCGAGGTACAAAGACTCCAGATGTAACCCACTGATCAGAGATGCTACTTTGCTGGTGTATATAAAGTACTTCCACCGAAATAATGAAGCTGCCATAGCAGTGGGGAAAAAAAAAAAATCATTACAACTTATTGACATGGAGATGCAGAAAACATTGATTTTTTAATCCATGTATGTTAAGATAAATTACTTTGCTTAGAAGAACTACATAGTACTATTGTCACTGTATTCTAGCATGTCTTCCATGATGAGCTTTCTCTAAATCTTAATATAATCTAGCGCAGTGGTTAGTTTTCATCTCATAAATGTAATCTACTGTTTACATCAGCACTTGATCAAAACTGAAATCATCTGTAACTATATTGCTCATCACAAAGAATTTCACAGAAGCAAAATGTAATGTTTCATTCTACCTTCTAAGGATTGCCCAAGACAATCTTTCCCAGGACAGACATAATTGGGCCTTTCGCCAAAAAGACCGGTGCGCATATACCTACATTCATATCTGCCTTCGGATTTAAATGCAAGTTACACAAGATCTCTTTACATTTAGCAGCCTATTGATTGCCAGGACAAACTGCTGTGGCTTCAAAGTTTCGTTCTTGCAAAAGAGTATAAAAAATGCTTATGAAAATGACAGAAGCCCAAGCTTTTAGGAAGGGAGAATTTATGCAATTGGGAGCGTTAATTAGTTATTATCAGATCTGCAATTTGTGCACCCTTCATCCTATCCCCAGAAACTACTGGCCTTTCAAGATTTTAAGGTGCATGTTGGTTGCTTTGTTCATCTGAAGATTAATTACACTAAGAAAACAAAGGTTAGCATCGTGTACTTGAAAATGACAGGTTTCAATTTCTGCTAGAAAATAACTTGGGTTTCAATCTGATTGAGGTTTAGCACAAGTTACTGCTGAACTTGTTCAGAGGAAGCTATAAAGTTGCTAGAGATTAGTGTGCAAGATCATTTAAACATCACCTGCTGCATCTCTGAAGTGAACAAACTCATTTCACCTCTGTGCTCATTGAGTTAAGCACCAGAACTCTGCTGAATAAGATGCTTTGTTCTATTTTCAAATGTCATATATGAATTAATTAGCACATCAATGGATTTTAAAGAATTTTGAAAGATACACACAAAACAATAACTAAAGTTACTAAGCAATAAAAAAAAAACCAAAACAACAGTGAAAACAATGATTCCACTCATATTTCTCACGAAATATTTAGAGCTTCCTAGTGGAAGCTTTGGTCACAAAAGACATGACCTATAAACAGAAAGGCCACAAGACGATGACTGAATTTGAAATAGACAGCTAAGATATTCCTGCAAGTGAAACAGGAACTGCAGGGTGGAGTTTGTGGCAACTGCTGATTATTGGCAAGTGACTGCTAATCACAGTCTAAGGAAAAACGTCCTTTAGTCACATCTTCCCTGCAGAACACCAAACAGATCTCCCAAGAAAGGTGCAAGCAATGTCATACCTTCTCTGCACAGGACAAATCACCAAACACTTAGCAAGAAATTCACAGCACCTTGCTCCATCACAGCTGCCCTTCTTCCTCATTATGTCCACTTTAGAATTAGCCACAATTACTCATGTCCTAGTGACTGCCAATGTGTATTAATCACACCTTGAAAGATGGCTATTTTAGACAACACAGAACTGAAGGACTGGATAATTCTCTTGGCAATACAATTCTGTGAAGTCAGACACATCTTCAGAGATAACAGATGTATTAGGTTTGTGTCATCTTGACACTTGCCACAAATAAATAACGTACTTGGGGTTACAGAAATACACTTTCCCTGTTGTAGTTGTTGCTTATTTTGTTTTGATAAGAGTAAACTTCTTTCCCCTCCTCCTTCCTTCCGATAAAAGAATCTGGGTTTTGATCAAGGCTACAGTAGAAGCCCTTTCATCACCACTGTAGGTAACAAACCAAGAAAGCGGCTTTGCTCAGATGCTTATGATAATAAACAGACAATAATACCAAATACCTGGTCATGCATATGAAACTATGAAATAGTTTGTTCCTACGCAATCATATGCAATAATGTCCTGCTATCACAGTGAAATCTAGTAAAGAACAGATTACTATAGTATGAAGAAAATAGTATTTACTCAAGATGAAATGACCTATTGAATATTTAAAACCAAATGACAAATCTAAGCTACCTGATGAGTTTCCCGATGTCGGTATTTTGGTACAGGCTTATGAACTGTGCCTGAAATGACTAAATTTAAACAATTGCTTTGTTTAAATAAAAAGTACTCTCCCAAGCGGAAATTGCACACTTCTTCCCAAAAGTTTAGGGGTTTTTTAACAGCAACTATGTACAAAGTAGCATTTACAGAAATGCCATACAACTTTCACATGTTTGTATATAGAACATGCTTTCTGCAGCTTATCACCTTGCAGTAACTCATTACCATGGCTTATCCATGAACCAAAAAGATCTGTGCTTTATGTAGTTTTCTTTAAAATTAAAAAGTGTGAGGAACATTTAAGAAAACCTTTTCTGAAGCATAGGCAAAGAGGGAATTGGAGTAAGAATTTTGATATAACTTCTTCACTTTTCTGTCTGGTCTCTCTCAAATTGTTTAAGAAAAGGATTCCATATGCCTCCCTAAAATGCTACAGCGATAAAAACTACGAAGTTTAAAAACCTGTTTATCACAGATGCTTACAATCTTTACTGTAATAATCTATGTCAACTCTCCAGACAAGAAAAGACTAATATTAAGGAAAGCACACAGAGAAAAAGAAAAAAATGAAGAAATAAAATTAAAGAATCCCTCAAACCACTAACTGCTTTTGAAAATAACACCTTAACACAAAAAGGTCTTGAATGCACAAAGTATTACTGAGTATCTAGAAACAAAATAAATTCAACCTGCACAAACCAGCACCAGTCTGAACCTGATGTGATTGAAAGCAACGGTCTTCATTCAGCTGTGTCAAAATGTATGAGAAAAATAGTTATTTGAGGCCATTTAAACATATTAAAGAGATGCTGTAACTCTGTATCCTTGTAACAATATTGGGAGTACACACTAAGTACTGACTGTGCAGACACAACACATCCACACCTAAAAAAACCCCCACAGTCTGCCTAAAGTTAAAGCTTGATCCATTTGTGCAAAGTGCTCCGTGATGTGAGGGCATGTGAAAGCCAATTTGAAACAACGAGTCAGGCAATCCCAAATTCTCTGCAAGATTTTGACATAATAAAGACAACATGTGAGAGAAGTCACTCCCCTCTTCTCCACAGAAAATGAGGACACCGGCATTCAGAACAGCCAATCCACCAATCCCAAAAGACAAGACAGGCTATAAAAAAAATAACAAAATTAACATCAGAATTCTTAAAACATTGTTTTCTTCAATACTGTTTCTAGTAAATGAAAAAGATACAAATTCATCTTCTATTTCCCCAACATAATCTGACATTTCTATTATTAATCAAAAATGGCTTATCTGTTATAGGAAATCCATTCTAAATTTGCAGAGGCAAGCTCATAAGAAAACATTGAGCACAAAGTTTTAACAAGGAAATGCTTTTAGAATTATCTGTGTTTTAAACAGAATTCACTGCCTGTACAGTGCAGGCTCTAATCCTTCTTCCAGGCATCAAGTCGTGTTAGAACCTAATGGAATTTTTTCCTGTGGAAGGATTTTGCTGTATTCTCTCAGCTGTTTAGTAAGATTGCAGAAGGGAAAAGGTTGTCTGAACAATTTTAAATGGTTAGGATCATCACATTAAAAAATGCATTAAAAAGTGGTTTACCGTAAGTAAAAGCATGTCAAGTTCAACCCTGATTATCATTTAATTCCATGTGAACTTGTTTCTGCATTAAGCAAGAAAAACAAGTTTGTGTATGAAGAAGGCAGGTTTAAATTTTAATAGCTATTCATGAAGGTGAACCAATGAATTAATTTGATTTTGACTGAAAACAACAAAGATCAGGGTTTGATTTTAATTTAAGGGACAGCATCCTTCCGTTCCACTCCAAATGTCTCATTCAGACCATCAGACAAATATTTAAAACTTTCATCAGAGAAGAGCATAGGGACAAATTCCTTAATTCAATTGATTAAATCTTTGCAACGTAATCTTACATCTGAAATGTAAGTTTAGTCTTACATTACCATTGACATCTCCAGCAGCCCCGTCAGTCCTCCTTCAGAGACTGCTCATGTTAAGAAATTATTATTATTACCTTCTGCTTAATAAATATGTCACTAATAAACCATTTCCACCTTGGAATTGCACTTTATCTTACTTATATTAAGTCTGCAATGACAGAGGATGGGGAACAAGTGATTTTTAAGACATGCATACAGACCATCTTTTCTGTACACTCTTAAGCCCTGCTGCCATGGAGGTATACTGCGGTACATGCCCTGAGCTATGTTTTAAAGAGAGACACGCTAGATTGGAAAACCTGAACACCCTCCATTCCTATTTATAATTTAGGTGTCCTTTCCTCAACAGCATTGTCCAAACTATTTATTCCACATTGACATATGATACACCAAACTTCCAGCCTCAGCTTTTGCCTTCCTTTTAGATTTCCATTCCATCTTATGGCAGCATGACACAGCCAGGAGCTAAGAATAAACAACTGCACACTGAGCCAGCCACCCAAGATGACAACAAAAGAGTAATTCCTCCTCAGGACTTCAGATACTCCAGATCTGCTCACTACTTCCAACCCAGCCTCTTACATGCTACTTTAGTTATTTTACTTATGTCCAGTGAATTCCACTACAAAATTTAGAGGTGGTTTTCTAAGTCTCATAAAACCTGTGTGAGACCATTTAGAATGGCTTTTGAAGTTGTTCAACCCCAACGACAAAACCACATTCAAGTTTCCAACCTATGATCTCAAATTGTTCAAACAGTCTGCTACAGATATATACAGAAGTTTTAAAGTTCTAAATATGCATTGCCAAAAAGCAAACCCTAACTTTTTTAATATACCTACTCTAAATAAGCCTTTAATGCAGCAGGGTAAGCCTTTCCAAAGCAGCAACTTCGCTTACAAGACCCAGCTCTCTCAACCTGCAAGCAAAATGACTGAAAAAGTTTT